TATTATTTGTATGTGCATCTTTAATTTAGATCAATTTTAATCTTGATATATAAGGAACCAATTTTCTTACTAAATACTAAAATTATCATTATCACGTTTCGCATGGACTCAATATTCACGTCACGTAGTTGTCCGGAAATACCTGATATACAGGTGTATGCAAAGTAACCTATTTGGTTTGCCCTTGCTAGTCCACATTCTTCAACGTCGTAGATGGCAGCACATGGCTCTACGTAAGAACGTAAATATATTAGGCTTAGCTACTCTTTTAGCTGTTTGAGACCACAGGTTTGATCCTAGCCGCTGGCAGTAAACACGATATTGGAAGTTTTCCATGACTGCGCATGCAGAATTGCGAGGTCATACAATTCATAGCGTATTAACATCATTGAACTGCAAAATATCACTAGAACAAAACACTGTTATATAAAAGAAACAAACAAGTTTACAAAGACAATAGAGAGCTTGATAGACGTGAAATATCAGTAAAACAAAACATTGTTATATAAAGGAAACAAATGTTTACAAATCCAAGTGACACCCTGATAAACGTGAAATATCAATAGAACAAAAACACTGTTATATAAAGGAAACAAAAAAGTTCACAAATCCAAGTGACACCCTGATAAACGTGAAATATCTGTAGAACAAAACATAGTTATATAAAGGAAGCAAATAAGTTTACAAATCCAAGTGACACCTTGACAGATGTGAAATATCAGTAGAACAAAACACTGTTATATAAAAGAAACAAACAAGTTTACAAAGACAATAGACACCATCACAGATGCGAAATATCAGTAGAAAAATACTGTTACATAAAGGAAATAAAATAGTTTACAAATCCAAGTGACACCCTGATAGACGTGAAATATCAGTAGAACAAAAACACTGTAATATAAAAGAAACAACCAAGTTTACTAATACAATAGACACCATGACAGATGCGAAATATCAGTAGAATTAAATATTGTTACATAAAGGAAACAAAATAGTTTACATATCAAAGTGACACCCTGATAAACTTGAAATATCAGTAGAACAAAACATTGTTATATAAAGGAAACAAACAAGTTTACAAAGCCAAGTGACACCCTGATAAACGTGAAATATCGGTAGAACAAAACATTGTTATATAAAGGAAACAAACAAGTTTACAAATTCAAGTGAAACCCTGATAAACGTGAAATATCAGTAGAATAAAACACTGTTATACAAAGAAAACAAACAAGGTTACAAAGCCATGACACGTTAATATATGCGAAATATCAGTAGAACAAAACACTGTTATATAAAGGAAACAAACAAGTTTACATATCAAAGTGACAACCTGACAGACGTGAAATATCAGTAGAACAAAACATTGTTATATAAAGAAAACAAACAAGTTTACAAATCCAAGTCACATCCTGATAAACGTGAAATATCAACAGAAGAAAAACACTGTTATAAAAAGGAAACAAATAAGTTTACAAATCCATGTGACACCCTGATAAACGTGAAATATCAGTGGAACAAAAACACTGTTATATAAAGGAAACAAACAAGTTTACAAATCCAAGTGACACCCTGATAGACGTGAAATATCAGTAGAACAAAACATTGTTATATAAAGGAAACAAACAAGTTTACAATGCCAAGTGACACCCTAATAAACGTGAAATATCAATAGAACAAAACACCGTTATATGAAGGAAACAAACAAGTTTACAAATTAGAGTGACACCGTGATAAACATGAAATATCAGTAGAACAAAACACTGTTATATAAAGGAAACAAATAAGTTTACAAATCCAAATCACACCATGATAGACGTGAAATATGAGTAGAACAAAAACACTGTTATATAAAAAAAAAACAAGTTTACAAATCCAAGTGATACCCTGATAGACGTGAATTATCAGTACAAAAAAAACACTGTTATATAAAGGAAACAAGCAAATTTACAAATTCAAGTGAAACCCTGATAAACGTGAAATATCAGTAGAATAAAACACTGTTATTCAAAGAAAACAAACAAGTTTACAAAGCCATGACACGTTAATATATGTGAAATATCAGTAAAACAAAACACTGTTATATAAAGGAAACAAATAAGTTTACAAATCCAAGTGATACCCTGATAGACGTGAAATATCAGTAGAACAAAACATTGTTATATAAAGGAAACAAACAAGTTTACAATGCCAAGTGACACCCTAATAAACGTGAAATATCAATAGAACAAAACACTGTTATATAAACGAAACAAACAAGTTTACAGAGCCAAGTGATACTCTGATAAATGTGAAATATCGGTAGAACAAAACATTGTTATCAAATGGAAACAAACAAGTTTAAAAATCCAAATGACACCCTGATAGACGTGAAATATCAGTAGAACAAAAACACTGTTATATAAAGGAAACAAACAAGTTTACAAACCAAGTGACACCCTGATAAACAGGGTGTCACTTGGCTTTGTAAACTTGTTTGTTTCCTTTATATAACAATGTTTTGTTCTACTGATATTTCACGGATAAACGTGAATATCAGTAGAACAAAACATAGCAATATAAAGGAAACAAACAAGTTTACAAATTCAACTAACACCCTGATAAACGTGAAATATCAGTAGAATAAAACATTGTTTATAAGGGAAACAAACAAATTTACAAATCCATGTGACACCCTGATAGACGTGAAATATCAACAGAACAAAACACTAAAAAAGGAAACAAACAAGTTTACAAATCCAAGTGACACCTTGATCGATGTGAAATATCAGTAGAAGAAACAATGTTATATAAAGGAAACAACACGTTTACAAAGCCAAGTGACACTCTGATAAATGTGAAATATCAGTAGAACAAAACATTGTTATATAAAGGAAACAAACAAATTTACAAAAACAATAGAAACCTTGATAAACGTGAAATATCTGTAGAACAAAACACTGTTATATAAAGGAAACAAACAAGTTTACAAAGCCAAGTGACACCCTGATAGACCTGAAATATCAGTAATTTCTCTTCTTCACTTGTCATCAGAAATAAGACTATGTTTTAACAGAATTTCAATAAATAAATAAAAGGAACAAACACCTGTGATCTAATTAACCACGTTCCAAGTAACAGAGGGTTAAAAAATATTCTTTTGTGTGTGACAAAAAAGTTACACCTATATCGATAGTTTTCGTATGATAAGAATAACTGTAAGCTTATATATAGAAACATAATAAAAATAAGCATTTCCGGAACTGATATTAGAAAACATTATTTTTTGAAAGTTTTGAGCTTTCTTTGTTGCTCGGGAATAATTTCTAACTGTCACCTTGACGATAATTCATTTAACATGTATTTCACCTTTTTTTTTCATATTTTGTTTTATCCCACAAAATTTACTGATAATCTTCAATTAAGAATGACCCCTAAATTCCAGTTCAAGCTCAGCAAATGCTGAAAAATTAGAATCTTTTTTTTTTTTTTTTCAATTGAACCAGTTAGAAGAAACTGGGGCCCGGCATGGCCCGGTGGATAGGTCACTGGACTCGCAATCTGGGGGTCGCGGGTTCGCGTCCTTGTCTCACCAAACATACCCACTTGGGCGTGGGGCTAGAAACTCCACCCCGATAACAATCTGTTACAGAAACTGCAACACCACTTTCACTTTTCCCTATGTTCCACTTGGAACGACAGGAATTAAGAAGAAGAAACTGTTATGACCTATATTTAAATGTTAATATTTTCCATCTGTAAAATAATCATTGTGTACTTTACTGCCCACCCCCTAGTGGCTCAAAGGTAAGTCTGAAGCAAATAACGCTAAAAATCGGGTTTTCATATCGGTGGCAATCACAGCACGGGTAGCTTTGTGCTTAAAAACAAAACTTTACCATCCTGTGTTTACCTAGGCCTAAAAAATTGATTAGCGTCGTTATTTCGCCAGCGTTCTACGCCGCAGCATTGAGTTTCTTGTAATGCACGGAAATGGTATTCCACACACACGTTTTAAGCTGTCATGGTCCAGCCCTGAGCATGATTTCTGGCTTTAAACAAAGGACTTCCTCGGCACTGATTTGTAACAGACTAAATGGCAGGCTTAAAATGCTATATTTTCACATAATGATTTGAAATATTTAATAGTCTAAGAGGAACGTGTTTTAAAACAAAAACACCCGCAGTTGCTTGTTGTCATGCTGGCCTAATTTAGTAATTAGCTTCCTTGTTTCGCTAAAATAGGTATTATGGATCACATCATCATTTAACCAAATGTTTTTTAATAATATCCCACACTTCCTTATTTTCTTGAACACAAAACTAAGAAAACTTCGTTTCTTTACTGTGTAGGCAAAAACGACGATATTAATTTATTACCTATGACAAAGTCCCAAATAAAGCAAGTAGGTTTTTGAAAAATACACGATATTGTAAAGCTTAGATCGTGTACAGCTGGAGACGTATAAAACGAAAGAGAAAAAGAAAGATAGAGAGAATAGCCAGAAAAAATTAGTATCAGATGAAACTTACCATCATCACGTGTGTGTGTGTGTGCGTCTGTTACAAACCTGATATTAAAATATATTTTAAAACATACCTTAAGCTTAAATCTTTGTTGTAGAAAGAAAGTACTAGCCATAGTTCCGGTCAAACAAAACTTTCCGAAACTTTAATCGCTCTTTAGTCTTGTGTGTTCGCTAAAACTCCAACACAGAAAGTATGCCAGTATTAAAACTACTACACATTATGTGTTCACTTTCAATACGTTACGTTCCCAGGAACTTTGTGGATACGAAAATCATACAAACTCTTGTTAGGCCTAAGTGCAGATGAAATAATTCAACAGAATTTTTTCAGTTTTAGTGTTTCGTCATACAACGATTGTAGGTGCTCATAACTGGATTTTCTTCCTTGGAACAACGGAATTCAACAAAATTTGTCTGTTAATGTTATAGAACAAGTCTGAATACGAAGGACGTCTAAACACAACTCGTTTTCACTCAACTTTTGTGTACGCACAGGTGGACGAATTATTAGAGAAAAACCTGATACCAAACAGGAAAAAACAGACGGAAAGGGGAAATACGCCTTTGACAATCCATACTTCCGGAATGATGAAAATGACGGAACCACGCTCGATTCAGCTGAAAAAGGTAGGCCATGAAAATTCTAAAAATCGAATGTACTTTTCACCTCATTTTATGTTGTTTATTATGTAGGCCAAACGGATGGTTGAGTAGTAGGTTCGAATTCCAGCTGGTTTCGCTTACTTCGTAATTTTTAGAAAATCAATTTGTCGTAAGCTATATTTTTAATGTTGTAATTTGTTAGCTAGGACGCCTAGAAAGTTCTGTTACGACAGCGAAAGTCACGTGACGCTAGTAACACGTCATGATATT